AGAAGAGCTTACAGGAACTATTGAGGGAAGCACAAAAGGTGTATATGAGAAGGGATGAAGAGAAACAAAAAACGCAAGCCAGGGTGTTGGTGGTGGCAGTAAGGGAAGCACAAGCACAAACGGCTGGGTCATCAGCTCCGGCCCAGGGGCCCCAGGGAAAGCCGGCACACACCCAAAAGAAAAACAAACAGGTAAGTGCCCCTGAATGTTTTTACTGTAAAAAGAAAGGACACCTCAAGAGTGATTGTAAGAAACGAATAAAGGATGAAAAGGTCTTTCAAGAAGAATAGAGGTGTCAGGGGCTTTATAATTTGGGGTCCTGGACATCAAGAGAGCCCTTGATAAAATTAAAAGTTGGACCCCAAAAACAGGAGCTAGTCTTTTTAGTTGATTCTGGAGCAGAAAAAACCACAGTTCAAAGACTGCCTCCTGGATGTATCAAAGGTAAGGATTTCATGACTGTGATTGGGGCTAAAGGGGAGCCCTTTCAAGTCCCCGTCCTAAGGAATGTAGAAATAGAATCAGATAATAAAATCTGTGTTGGGGATGTTTTATTAGTAGAAGAAACAGAATACAATTTATTGGGAAGGAATTTAATGGTGATATTAGGAATAAGTATAATTGCAAAGGACTCACAACTCATGGTAAGTTTATACAACCTAACTACTGAAGATGAAAAGAAAATTAATCCCAGGGTCTGGCACACTCCGGGGGAAGCTGGAAAATCAGACATGAAACCAATTCACATTAAAATTAAGAAACCAGAAGACCCCATAAGGGTAAAGCAGTATCCCATCTCTCTAGAGAGAAGAAGGGATTGAAACCAATAATCGAGGACTTAAAAAAAAAAAAAAAGGAGGCACCTTAGAACCCCGCATGTCCAGACATAACACACCTACATTAGCTTAGCAATACAAAACCTGATAGCAGTTACCCACAGTCTCTAATCCTTATACTCTATTATAGTGTAATTGACCTAAAGGATGCCTTTTTAGACTTGTCCTCTAGTTGAGGAAAGTCAGGATAATTACATTGCCCCCCCCAGAAAAGAAATCAGGAAATTGCTGGGGCTTTTGGGTTGGTTTTTTTTTTTTTTTTTTCGGACAGTAGATTGAAGGGTACAGTGAAAAGGTAAGGTTTTTATATGACAAACTTACCATAGACAGACTTAAGTAGACTAAAAAGGATGAAAAGAACTACAGAAGATTAAAAGAGAAACCCTCATGGCAGCTCCAGTATTAAGTCTCCCTGACCTAAAAAAAAGGCTCTTCCAGCTCTTTATAGATGTGAGCTGTATGCAATATACAAGGCTTTGCTGGGACTTAAAGGGAAAAAGGGGACAACTTTCACTGATTCCAAATATGCATTTGGGTGGTGTACACCTTTGGGAAAATCTGGGAAGAAAGAGGTCTGCTAAACACATGGGGAAAGGGATTGATTCATGAAGAAATAATTAAACAAATCCTTAAAGCTATTAGAGGGCCAGAAGCTATTGCTATAGTCCATGTAAAAGGACACCAAACCGGGATGCAGTTCAGGACTCAGGGGAACAATTTAGCAGACAAAGAGGCAAAAAGCACTGCTTTGCTAAAGGTAAGTGCCCCAGAGATTGAAAAAAGGGGACGCTCAGGAATTCCCCCCCCACCCCTCTGAAACGGAGATGGAGGCTTATCGGAAGATCGGGAGACAGTTAGAAGGAGGTAAGTGGAAGTTACCAGATGGGAGGGGATTGTTGTCAAAGGAATACACTAGGAAGATTTTAAAAAGATTACACCAACAGACACACTGGGGGGCCCGAGCTCTGGCAGAGCAGTTCCTGAAATTCTTCAGCTGCAAAGGTATATGTGAATTGGCTAAACAAGAGGTGCAAGGGTGCATAACTTAGAAAAAAATAATAAATCATACAAACTCCCAAAGGTGAAAGGGGAGTCGTCCAGCAGCTTACTGGCCTTTTGAAAGGATCCAGGTAGATTTCACTAGTCGGGAAACACAAATTCTTATTAGTCATAGTAGACAAACTAACCCACTGGGTAGAAGCTTTCCCAAGCTCCCAGGCTACAGCCCAAACAGTATCAAAGGTCTTATTAGAAGAAATTATACCTCAATATGGGTTAGTAAGCTACATTGATCTGAACCAGGAGACACATTTCACATCAAAAATCATTAAGCTATTAGCAGATGCTTTAGGCATTCGATAGGAATACCACACCCCATAGCACCCTCAGAGTTCTGGGCCACTCAAAAGAATTAATCAAATGTTAGAAGTCCAATTAGCCAAATTGGTGTTAAAAACAAATGTCATAAATAAAATACATCCCATTAGCCTTATTAAACATAAGAACTATGCCTCATTCTGAAATGGGATTTCCACCTTCTGAAATGTTACATGGGATACCTTATACCCATAGTATGCCTGTAGGGCATCCGGGAGTAAAGAATAGACAGACACAACCATACCTGATAGCATTGAATAAGGATCTCAAGGGGGTGATCATGCAACACAGCAACCCACCCCACCTTAGACTTTTTAATATATACAGCAATAAGTAAAATACATCCTGAAGACAAAATACTGGTAAAAACATAAAAAGAGTCAACATTCACGCCTCATTAAGAGGGACCCTATATTATCCTTTTAACTACAAATACTGCTATACAAACTGCAGAAAAGAAGCAGACACACGCGTCAAGAAGTCAATGTCCAGGACCAGGCACCAGAGTGGAAAATCATTCCCCCCCAGGAATTTGAAGATAATCCTGTCCGGCCAAGTAAAAAACGGAGAGCATCTCTATCAAACGTTCTTTGCCAGAAGTGTAACTATTATCCTTTCATACATTTCTCTTGCAAATACTGTCATAAAGTTTAAAATGTTCGTTACTGACTTAAATCAAGTGGGTTGTGTGGGAAGTGCTCTGAGCAGGAAGAAGACCTGACTAGCCGTTTTCTGGTAATAGCCACAAGGCTAATATTGTTCTAATTAGATTCAATAATCTAAGTTTTAGGTTTTTTTCTTTTTCTCATATCAAAAGGGATTAAGGGGGAAATTACAAACAAAAGCTAAAATTATTATTGTTGAGTGTCATAGGTTGAACAACATACCCTGCAGTGCAGACACTAGTGAACTACACCAGTGAGGCATTTTTAAACAGGGTATGCGGCTTGGCCTTGGTATGAAACCACAGACAAAGATTCCTGCTGACAAGAAGATGGCTCACCCCGCCGCTGGATGCACCCCAGTGGGCGCTGGGAACGGCAGAGGGATCCTAGCAGTGGGAGTAGTCCCGGCGAGCCTGAGCCTAACCTCGTGCTTCAGTAACCTCCCCAATCCTGAGAAGGGGGAACTCAGTGACAAATACCCAGAAGAAATCGCCTCTTACCTCATAGAACTGCAGCAGGGGTAAGCCTAATAAACGTTGTCTTGACACAAACACTCAACAGGGGGTGTACAAATTCAAAGGAAAATCAAAAACATACCTTGAAAACGGACAGTCAGCTCATAAACTGCATCAAAAGGGCACAGATAGATATAGTTTATAACAGATATATTAGTACTACATGGGTTAGGAAAAGCAAAAGTCTGTTTTGTAACTTATTTTCAAGATAATTCACCGTGTTATAACCCAAATAAATTTGGTATGTGTATAATAGGGAAAACATACTGGGTGGGTGCTAGATAAATGAGTAATTGAGACAAATAGAAGAAAGACACAAACCCACAAATCTTACCACAGAATCCCAGATGAAGACTAAAATGTAAGGAAAGAAAATATATATAAACTATGTAGTTTTATATCAAATAAAATAAAAAGTAGGGCGCAAATTATTAGGTTAATATAAAAGGTGGGGGATTGTTATGTGTAGTAGATATAATTTGCGCCATTTCTAATATGATATATGTGATATTGAATATTTGTTAGAGTATACATGTTTGTATTAGGACTCCCCCCACCTCACAGGCGCAGGTGAGACTGGGTGTAGATTGGAAACTGATTTACAAGTAAGAAGGTACAGCTCGCCAGGAGATGGGCCATGTCTGGGGAGATACAGAAACCCCAGGTACTGATCGTTAGCGTGAACGACCCGAAATGGATATCATGGAAATCCTGAGGCAGATACATGTGAATACAGCGTTCCCGTAAATTTCATCAAAGGATTCAACAAACTCCAGACAGTGATTTGTTCTCCCTCATCACCAAAAAGGAAAATCTTATTAACATATGGACTCTGAATAGAAGAAAAGACTGATTGCTGAAATCTTGGCCTCAGGCAGAATTTTCCCTATAAAAACCGCTTGTGCCAGGATGGAGGGGTGTGGGCATGGAGGAAAACCTCTACTGAGGCTGACCTCTTTGTTGCACACCCAGGGCCGACCCCGGGCTCGGCTCTGTTCTTTCCTTGTGGCTGGCTAGATAAAATTTGATTGCAAAATAAATATTTTATTTTTCATATTAATTTGGCTGGACAAATTTTCATTTATAACAGGGGGTAGGGTCACAAGTTTCGGGGAACAGCTCTGCAACCCGGGTGTTGGGGCAGGGCTCCCCTGCCCTTCTGCCTCTGGGGAAAAACCCTCAGTTGCCCTGGGGGTCTGCGCCCTGCATTTGAGTCCTGTGAGGCGACGCAGTCATATAGTTTCATGCTATCATTTTCCCATAACCGGGGTTCAAATCTTTTCTGTAAGAGCTAGCTAGGTAAGTGTTCCTTGCCTACAGCAGCAGGAAGAGAACATTTTTGGAAGAGAAAATGCAGTGTTCAATGCGTTGCCTCCACATTATCACTACAATCAAACTAAAAATAGCAGAAGAAAAAAATCCATTTCAAGGCCAAGAATACTTTGTATAATTAGGTTCTGCAGACTTCATAGTGGGTGTCTGTGTCTCCCTCATGGATAAGACCTTAACTTGGTGCTGTTTCAGTAAGAGTTCTAGTTTCTGGAATGCGTCTGCCTCTTTTTTTCCGAGAGTTGTCCCTCCCATTCTGGTCCCTTTTGGGAGCTTACCGAATGTGGGGTTCAGCTCTCAGTTCCGAGGTCCGTCCACCATAGTGCGGGATGTGACTCCTGTGGCCACCAGGAATCGAGATGTTGAATGGGTGAGTCCTTTCACCTCTGGAGGAATTTCGATGGATCTGGCTCACTTCCAGGGACGATGGGATGATCTCTTCAGAGTTGGGTTTTCCTCTCACGCAGGGCACCAGTTTTAAGTTTGTTGGCCCTGCAGGGGCGTGTTTTTTATTCTTTCAGTGTCTGTTCATACACCACCCCCCCCCCCCAGCTCACCCCCAACCCCCTTCTTTCCAAGATGTGAATTCTCCCTTTCCCTGCCCCTTTTCCCCAGGACAGTCCCTGTCTATTTAGTGAGGCTCAACACCCTATTGGTTACTTTGTGTCACTCCACTCCCTTGTTTTCCCTGATAGGTTCATGATATGTTAGTCCTGCCCTAAACTCCTTCCCTGCTATTCCCCTATAAAACCCTTTGTCTGCACCCCCAAAGTGTCTTGGGACATGCGAAATAAACCGATCCTCTTCACCCCAAGTCCCGTGCCACCTCCATCCGTCCCTGCACCAACAACTGGGACTGCAGAGCTTCACAGGGGGATCGGCCGCCCGTTCTCTTCCCTCACCGCCCAGCACGCCCACGCTCGGGGTGTCACGGTGAAAGGGTGCTGACCATGACGCAACAGGGCCCCAAGCTGGACAATGCCCTGGTGGCTCCCCTGGCAGGGGAGACCCTCCTGGAGCAGTTCTGTGTCAGGAACGAGAGACGCATTGGACTTTTTCGGTCTTTAGCTTCTGTTTATTGTTATCTTACCAAAACTTCAGCATATTGTCTGCGCCCAGACCTTGCATGCGTGAAAACAGCACAAAAATGGCCAACAACCTTGTGCTGCAAGGTCTTTTTAAGTTGAATCAAAAACTACTTTACCCAATTAAGAAGTGACACTAAATTATTTTATTTTCTAACCCAATAACTGACCCCAAGAGACCTGCAATGCAGATTTTTCTACCTAATTACAAGATACCATCTAAACCTAAGAAGCAAGAGGAAGAAGAAGAGATAAGAAAGGAACTTGACACAACACCCTATATCCTCCATCTTGAACCCATCTATAACATACTAAAAATCCTAAAACCTAAATTTCTCACCCATGTGACACACTACACTACTATCTACAATCTCTACAATCTATTTCACACTTTTGTGGTTTCTAATTTACCCTGAGGCTTTGGAAGTTTTCTCCATGAATAAGGGTCAAAGTCAGTGTTTTCCTGGGACTCAGAGCACCCCAGGGCAGACAGGGGGATATTCCCCTTGCCCTGGGTTCCCACATATCCCTTTTCAATATTTTTGAAATAAAAACCACAGTATTTTATTACAGGGTATTTTTCTTTACTTACCTTTAAGAAAAAAACCCCAAAACTCTAAGAAATACATTTGCTCTATTGTTCACAGATGCAAATGAGAAATTAGAACTCTTATCCCTGTTGATCCAATTTCTTTATTCCCACTCTTTGTGCTCAGTACTATGTAAAAGCCATAATTAATGAGACAGAAAGTGTGAGGTCCTTTAAGACAGTCACCTGGCACTGTCTTCAGCCTGCTTCTCTGGGGAGCACTGTTTTGTTTATTTGTCTTTTGTTTCAGTCTCTCTGGGGCTGATGTCATACGTCCACTATCAGAGGACTTAATGCAGCAGTAAATCCAGGCTGTGCCATTCCCCTTCTCTCTCTGGTAAGAACAGTTTAAGATTATGGAGACCCTCCTTGCTCTCTTGCTGTCTGCTCTGAGCTGAACATACACCCTTCAGAACCACAGGTTTTCAGAAGGTAGGTAAGTACCTGGCAGATCTATTCTGCCTGTTGTGTGACAAATAGGAGTTGCACATGATTTTATAATTAACTGTTTAACTTCAGCTACAGGAGCCCTCACTTCCAGATGCAGCAGAATCTGGGTTTTGGAGGGAGAATTTATGAGGATTTGTATTATTTTACTTGGAGAGGGGTTTATTTGCTCCTCCAAACCCTTGTTAAAGAATGGGGTTATTGCGTTTGTCAGGGTTCTGGTAAACCAGCTGAGTTACAAGAGATGAGATCTATTTCTTCATCTGATCTGTGTTTCCTACCTGGCTTCAAGGCTGTCCTCTGAACACAAACGCACATTCATGGTTGTGAGAGAAGGCACAGAATAGATGCCAGATGGTCTTTCCACAGCTTTGCAGTTCAGTCAATAGTTGATCTGAGAAAGATTAATATATTCCCATTCTAAATTTGGCTGGCATCAGATGTCCTGTAGAAATTTCAAGTTGTGTATAGGAATGTGCCACAAAATTGACTGCTGGTTCCTGAGCTCACAGACATCTCTGCAGAGCTAGCCTGTGAAGAATGTGGGACTATTGCAATAGATCTGTCTAATCCCTGTGAGCACTGTGGGATTAAAGGCATAGGGGCAGCATCTCATCTTGCCCTGGCGAAGGTGATGAACATGCTCACATATCTCTGCCAGAGCATCTCTAATGGCACAAACAAATACAACTTGAAAACAATGTGAATTCACTCTGGCAATCCCTGCAGAGACACTAGCTTTAGGCTGCTGAGATCAAACAGCCTGAAGTATTTGGAATGTTGGCCACCACATTTCACACCTGTTGAAACATTTTGCTGTGTAATCTGCAGGGATCATAATCAGAAATATTAAATTATTGAAAAAAACAGATATAGGAAAATAATTCTTTTATGTGAATCATAAACAAATGTAATTCCTTCCAAATCCTAGCAACTTCTAAAATCATTCTCTGAGCAGAAACATCTGTGTCATGGATAAGACTCTAAATATAACACAATCTCTGATTTTCTTCCTCCCTTACTCTGCTTAGCCTGGTCAACTGTTTCAAGGTTCTGTGCTGAAATTGCCAGTTCTTAGCCATATACTGTAGCCACAATGGGATGTTCAGCTGTGGGTGATCACCTCCAGAAAAGTACTTGATGTATTCAAAAAGCAGGGGAGAACACAGGTTTTGGTGGAGGAAGAGTGCAATTGGTGGTTATCCTCAGAGCTGAAAGTTTTTTGGAAGAGAAAATGCAGTGTTCAATGCGTTGCCTCCACATTATCACTACAATCAAACTAAAAATAGCAGAAGAAAAAAATCCATTTCAAGGCCAAGAATACTTTGTATAATTAGGTTCTGCAGACTTCATAGTGGGTGTCTGTGTCTCCCTCATTTCCATCTCTCCTCAGAACACACTGTGGAGGATAATCAGTCCTGCTCCCTTTGTTATTCATATTTTATTATCTCTCCTTGAGATTAAAATTCACCATTATCTACTTAAAGTGTATATATATGTGGAGGCAGAAATCTGCTACATTTGCTGCGTAGGATATTTTTGTTGAGGTGCAAGGGCATTTGAAATACGTCTGTTGAACAAGGTGCTTGTTCTTTTCTATTAGTATTTAAAATGAGGTCTCTGATTTTGTGTGTTTGATTCTAGATAACTGTTAGGACTTAGTTGTGTAAGCAGTCAAATTCTTACATTGCCACAGGACACATAGAAACTCTCCATGCTTATACTGGTAGTTGCTGATGGCTTTTCTGCTCCTGAACCTGGCATACTGTGAAAAAACAGGCATGGATGACAATCATGCATACTCATAAAGAGCTTTAACAATGCAAGATGTATGGCTGGACTTAAGAGGAAATGTAGGAAGCAAATCCTTATCAGGACTCCAACTTGAGTGCAAATGAAGAGCAATACTTGCCTTCTTTTGAGTGCTGCCTTTCATTCTTTATTCAGTTATGGACCTCTAACAAATTTCCAGTAGGAAAGCTGGCTCTCCCATCCAGTAAATATTAATTGTCTGGTAATAGAATTCCTTTTCTAATCCTAAAATGATACTCAAGTCCCAAAACTAAAACAGGTGCTGTCAAGCCTCCCATTGTGAACAGTGTCACATCTGTCATTCTTCAGGCTACTGAAGGGAACAGGAAACCTCGTCTGAAACTGGCTGAAGGCTGTTTCATCTCTCTAAAAGACATCCCCTACAGGTAATACAAAGCCACTCCATTTGGTTCCTATTCTCACTTTAACTGTTGCCCTGCAGGAAGTGGCTGCAAGAGAGGAAACCTAAGACTTGGGCTCCTGCTTATTTTAGAGAGGTGATGGTCCTTCGGCAATGGTAAAATGAAGTTCTTCTCTGGGGCAGGGTTAGGGCAACAGTCCTGAAGTACAGGGTAAAGTGATAGAGGCCACTATGCTACCTTTCAGAGGTGATGAGAGAGGCTGAGCAGCATGTGGGGAAGGGTTGGAGGAGCTCCAGAAATCTTAAATTATTTCTGCTTGTGTTTGGGGTTAAAGTTTGAGGCAGTGGTACTGTATATATTGCATTAAATGTTTTAAATAAGTATCTGCACAAGGCTGGCAAGGGGTAGCTGATATCCATGCTGAACCTATATTGATGGCAGGGAGACGGTGGATGGCATTTGTAGGATAGACTCACAGACCTCCCTGGGTACTTTGTTATCAGAGTGAGTGATGCTCGTTTTCCTATTAAACCTAAAACGTCCACATTCTATTCTATTAAAAACATATTTCGCAATGGAGTGAGATTCAAAAGCCAAGCAGCTTACGTTTATTCCGTAGGTTAGAATCTCCGGGAAGAGCGCCGTGGATTCGCGACAGGGAATGTCGCGACGGGCGCAGGGCGCGCCGCCGCGCACGGCTGGGGCAGCAGCGCCACCTGCGGTCTGGCGCGGGGACTGCGTGCGCGCCGCGCCTCGGAGGCGCGCGTGGCGACAGCGCTGCCGAGCTCTGTGTCATTGAAACACCGGCGGGTTTCCGGCCTCTGCTCAGCGAGTTAGGGAGTAGCTTCGGTGATACAGCTTCTGTACATGCTCGTGATATTGTAGTAATACAGCCTTTTAAAATCGAGCTTGTTACTGAACCACATTTTGTTCTGCATTTGTCACTGATTAAGAATACATAAAAGCCTTGTGTGGATATCGCCTGCCTACCTTAAAATTTTAAATTAAAAGTCTGTTTGTACCATTGTATATGTTTAACAAATGTGTGCGTATTTCACAAGGGTGGTCAAATGAGTGATCTCGTGGAAGAAAATGGCAAGAAAAGCTGTTCTTCCCAGGAAACATCTGCAGAAAAAAACGTGTCTCCAGCTGAGTACTGCTCAACAAGACACAAAAAATTGGTATGACTTCTCCAGTACTGTTTTATTATCAAGATACTTATAATTGCCTTCAATTTCTTCAGTCATTACAAAAATAAAGAGCTGGAGTCAAGAGGGAAATATCAGCGACAGTACCAGTGAAATGGATCAAGTTTGTAGTGCAGTGATTTAGAGGGCTAAGAGCAGTACTAAGTACGTAGGGAAACAGAGGAGTAGTCTTAGAGGAAGGACTATCACCTTATTATTCTTTTGCAACTTAAAATTGCATTATTTATGATCATGAACGGTGATGATGCTGAAAATCTACCCCAGAGTCCACAGCAGACATGTCTGAATAAGACACATGAGATTGCCCTGTATGTTTTCAGGAGGATGCAATTGAAGATGCACAGCATCAACCACCTTGGAAAAAAGTGCACTCAAGTGCATGGACATTCCTAAATCACTGTATCAGCAGATTGGGCTGAACTGCCACTGCTTTCCCCTGAGACACAGTGAAAGTGCTCAATTGTTTGTGGAAAAACACGATGAATTCTGATAGGAATGACACCCTCCAGGGAAGCCAAGAGGTGGCAAGGCAGCTCCATTTAAATAAGTAGAAGAAAAATATAAATTTATTTGTATTTTTGTGTCTTTGCATAATGAATAACAAGTGTACAGTCAAAGCTTGCAGTTATTGTCCACAGGGAAATTGTTTGACATGATGCTTATGTTTGCAGTGACTTTAGAAGTATCTGTCAACATACATGGACTAAGTGGAATGGTATTCAGCAGTTTTAGCTAATTGTAAACATGAATTCCATAAAATTGGCAGAAAAATGCATCCTCCTATTTCTCAGAAAACTGTGCTTACTTGAGCTTCTTTGTTTTGGTTTGTGTGTTGGGTTTTTTTTTTTCTCATACTTCTCACTTGTTGCAATGTTTTATTACTGTATTAGCTGCTCCTTCAAACATTTTTCTTGACTTCAGATTGTTTGACATAGATAGTTTCTAGGCATCTGAGGGAACAGTGAAAATAAGAGTGAATCCATTTGAGATACTTGTAAACATAGTACTTGTTTTTACATTTTAGATTAAGATGAAGAGCAAAACACATAATTCTGCCTCTCATATGGCAACTTGCAAACTCCATGCTGCTGTACCAGAGTTATGTGTTCAGTCTTGATTGTTCCACCTCCAGTCAGGATGCATAGTTGGTAAAAGGAATATTTGATTAATAGTTAGCCAAGCAAACATTTTAAACAATCAGTATGATCTTATAAGTTATCAGGAATATTAATTTTAATGTCACTCAAAAGCCAGTGAGGACACCTGGCAGTGAATAAATACATTTTCCATACATACATAATTTTACTAATTAAAAACTTTCTGTTGTTTATTTATAGCAAAAACTCGAGAAACAATTAAAATTCTTAGCCTTTCAAAATCCAGGACCTCAGGTAGCTGACTTCAATCCTGAAACTAGACAGCAGAAAAAGAAAGCATACATGTCACAGATGAAACAAAAATTTTTTTATGAGTCCAAGTAAGATCTCTAACTTATTACCTGATTTACTTTAAAAAATGGCTGGTATGCTGTTCATTGAATCTGAGTTAAATTCATAAAAGCTTTTTTTTTTTGCAGAGTGATTTCTTGAAAGCCATATTGGGAAAACAAGATTTTTCTGTGTGACTTTAACAGAATTTTGATATAGTATGGCATGCACTCATTTTTAGTGGCTGTTGCAATTAGGATATAATGCTGGTATTTCATTTTGTTGTGAGTTTGTTAAAGACTAAATACTTGTACAGATATTTTCCACATGTGTTTGGTTTAGTGTCTGAATGTGTTGAAGCACTATCTGAGAACAATTTTTGTTCTCTTTCACAGATTTACAAAGAAGTATGACAAGCATGGCAGGCTGCTGTGTAATGACACAGATTTATGTGATTGCCTGGAAATCGACTGCCTGGGTTGCTTCTATCCTTGCCCCAAATGCAACTCAAACAAATGTGGACCAGAATGTCGCTGCAATAGAAAATGGGTTTATGATACGATTGAAACTGAAGCTGGGGATGTGATCAGTGAGCTACCATTTTTTGTCCCTGACTGATAATGTTCTGTTAGTTTTTGTGCCTGAACATTGCTCTTTTTTCTTCATGTTTTATTAAAGTAAATCACCACTTGGCAGAGGTGCTTGTGCCTTTTTATTGCTGCCTACCTAGTAAATGTTACCATTCCCCATCAGGTAAAAGTGTGTATTTCATTATTCCTCCTCCTTGTGAGCTTTGCTGAGGCACCTAGTCAATCCTTTCTAAATCTTGACTTTCTAAAATTGAAGGTGTCTGAACTGTTATGGGAAGATAATTTTCGTACCCTCAGAAGCTGAACTGCATTACTTGTAATGAGGGTTTTTTGCCAATTTCTTTGCTTGTTCATTTACTCAGATGTGTGACATTGCTCTTTCTTTTGTTTCAGCTTGTCCAAGAGCCTTCTCATCCTGATGCATTCATTCCTTGTATAGGTGAGGCAGGAGGCATTTGAGATAACACTGTTCTTTGAAACCAGGTCACTACTTTCCATGTTTGTCTGCATATTAAGCCAAGTAGAGTGGAAACAACTCTCTCAGCAATTCTTTCTTGCTGCCCAGGTTGAAAAACTAAAACTAACATGTACAGTCAGCATTATTTTTTTACAGCATGTGGCACATCAAACATCCACCAGTCATTAATTATATGGCTAAACAGAGTGGATTTTTTCCATCTGGACAGAAAAGTCTTTTTAGTTCCAGAAGTTTCCTCTTCATGTAAGACATGACAGATTTTAAATACAATAACCTACACCTAGTCTTATGACGTAGGTATTCTCATTCATGATAGGCATCCACACCCTTTTTGGGAAGTGAGGGTCCCTCTGATCTTGAAGGCAAGAAGGCTGCAGATGGTTGCAGGTGATTTCAAGGAGCTGGCTGCGAGTGGGGAAATCATTCCTTGGGCCTAGTGCTTGTTGTTTTTGAGGAGACTCTCCCAGCTTTGAATGTGGCACCACTTTTCTCCCTCACCACAGGCCATTCTCTGTGACAAAGACCATCTACTCCAAGACAAAAATATCTTCCAATACAAGAAACTTGGAACAGATCCCAAGAATGTCTTAACACCAAAATCTCCTTCTGACTGGCTACCTTGGAAAGATTTTTTGTTCCTCTCAGCTAATAACACTTTAAGCTTATATCATGCAGGCAGCATGGGCAGCAAGCTGGAGGAACTGGAAGCCATTGTGCAGTGGGAATGCTGTGACACAGTCACCATCAGTGAAACATGGTAGGACAATTTGCACAACTGCAGTGCTGTGTTAGACAGCTGTAAACTTTTCAGAAGGAATGGGTGAGGAAGGGGAGGTGGGGAGGCATCCATGTAGGTTAGGAAGAGTTTTGGTTGCCTCTAGCTCAATGATTATGACAATAGGGTTGAGTGTTTCTGGGCACGAATCAGAGGGAAGGACAAGGCAGATATCCTGGTAGGAATTCAGAAGGGAGGAGCAGATCAAATATTCCATAATCAGTCTCACAATTGCTTGCTCTTTCTTTCTAGGGCAACTTTAGCATTCCAGATGCCTACTGTCAATACAATATAGCAGAGAGGCAAAACAGTCCAGGAAGTTCCTGGAGTATATGTAAGACCGTTTTCTGACACAGCAAGTCAGCCAAGGGGAGGCACCTGTTGGACCTGTTCTTTGTGAACAGAAAAGAACTAGAATGTGATGTTGTCAGGTTTGACACGGGAAGAGAATTTTTTTTGGAAGGAAGAGGTCACAGTCAGGGGTCAGGTTTGGATATTGACACTTGGGGTGACCAATTGAAGGTGGACACGCCTCTGAGAACACAGAGGGGTTAAAAGCAGAATTCCAGGAAGACTCGTTCTTCTTTGGTTCCGGTCATCGCAAGGTACAGACCTCCCCCCCAGCCCGGGCTGGGTGGGGGAGGGGAGCCATGTGGCCTGCAGAGGTAGGCCAGGGGGTGAAGGATCGGAACCGGCTGGGCCAGCTCCTGCGGATGGAAGGGTGGAGAACATCTGGGATGTCTTTGTTCCCCCTCCCCTAAGCTAGAGGGAAAAGAGATAGAGAGCCAGCAGACACCTAGGAGTTTGCCAGCGGAGGAGAAGGAGAAGGTGGGGGGAAGATGCCCAGCGTGGGAGACTGGAGACAGAATCCTGGGCTGAGATTTCAGCCATCTGGGGAGTCCGGGAATTTTAACCCTTTCCTGTGAAATGAAGGCTTTATGAAATATTACTCCTCCTCAATTTGAAGGAAAGAGAGACAGCCTGGGACCTCAGATGTTCAGAGAAGAAGGTTGGGGGAGATGATGGAGTGGCTTTTGGCTGGACTCTGCTTGTTTACCATAGACTGAACCTCTCCTTCTTTCAAGAGGGACTGCATTTTAGGGGGATGCACTGGTGAGCCAAGAGACCTCCTTCAGCAACTACCAGTTCAGGGATGGAAAGAGAGAGCTGAGGGGGGTGTGAGGATGCCCTCCATCTTCAGAGAAGAAGAGAAGGCGATCTCTGTCCTTGGACCCTCGGCCCCAGGGGAAAATGGGGGGGACTCTAGTCCTGAAATGCGACACTGGACTGTTGATCCTGGTGGTCCTTGGCAGAGCATCCTTAAAAGAGGCCCTATAAGCAGTCTCTGTCCATGCATGGTGGTGAGAGCACTGTGACATGGAGAGGAGAATGTCACACTGGCCGGTGTGTCTGGGCAGTGCCACGTGTGACATGGAAACACAAGAGGTGGCAGCTGTGTTTCCTGGGGGTCTATGGTGCAAGGGGGATTCCTCTCTTCCCCGATGGATTCAGTATTGATTATATTGAAGGGTGAAAACTGGATTAAGGATCTAAATGGGTCTCACTGTGGTTTGTTGGAGTTGGGTGGTGGGAGGAGGAATGTTTTGGAAGGTTTTCATTTTGAAGTTTGTGTGGTTTTTTTCCTTTTTCTTCCCCTTTATATTATTAGTAGTAGTGTAATAAAGTCTTTCCTTTGTTATTAAGTTTGGCCTGCTTTGCTCTGTTCTCAATTGCATTTCACAACATTTGATTGGTAGGTTGCATTTTCATGGGGGTGCTGGGTTTGTGCCAGCGTCAAACCATGACAGATGTGATGGTCTGATAGAGCTTTCAATTCTCAGAGAAAAAAAAGGAAGGGGGTCAGCATATCTGCCATCTTGGATTTAGGAAGGTCTGTCAAGGGGCCTGGTTGTCAAAATCCCTTAGGAGGCAGTCCTGAATGACAAAGGAGTCCAGATTTTTCAAGAAGAAAATCTTCAGGGTGCAGACTGTCCTCATGTGCCAAAAGACAAGCTGATGTGGAGGAAGGCCATCCTAGCTAAACAGAGAACTTTGGCTGAAATTCTAGGTAAAAAAGAGAATATATCACCTTTGGAGGAAACAGAAGGCAACTCAGGAGGACTACAAGGATGTTGTGAAGTAATGCAGGGAGACGAAGCCCAGAAATTAATCTGGCTACTGCAGCAAAAGAAAACATAAATGTTTTTATGAATATGCCAAATGTTTTCATAAATACATAGAGAAGTGTTTGGACAGTGTTCTCAAGCACATGGTATAGCTCTTGTGATATCCTGTGCAGAACGAAAAGTCCCTTCTGACTCAGCATATTCTGTGATTAGGTGATCACGGACCTCCTTATCTCATAGATGTGAGGAGATGCATTATGACAAAGGATAAGTGTCACGATCTGCTCGTGCGGGGTGTCGTGATGGTTCATTAACCAATCCCAAAAGTGCAAAAAGGCAAACAGCAGGGGACCATCAGTTTAATCACAACAAATGCACCTTTATTTAGGTACCAATAGCAAATGCGATAGAAGGGACAGAAAAAGGAAATAAAGAATAGAGAGAAAAGAGGGGAAGGGGAATTATAGCTACCACCATCGAAACGAGGTCCTCAATGGGCCAGCCACATGGATTTGTCGTTGTCCATGGGGGTTAACTGAAGTCTTGGTTAAGTTAGGGTCTTTCATAGTCCTCTGCCAAGTGGGGGGAACAGGTAATGGAGAAATGAGTCGATTTAAAAATGGGTACAGACAGTCCATATTCTGAAGCAGGGCAAGTCAATTTCAGGAGTGAGTGAGACCCATTGTTTTCTTGGTCCAGCGAACACACCTGCAGGCAACACTTGGCAAACATCCTGCTTCAGTAAGGCCAGCCCCACCCCCGTGATAGGGGTCTCAATCTCAGTCTCAGTCTCAGTCTCTCCCTCCTTGGAAGGAGCTTCAATCTCTGTCCGTCACGGTGGTTGTGAGGCAGATGAGGGATCTTCCCTGGGAGATCACCAAAGTTACCCCAGAAAGTTCACTTGGCCAAGAGGTGAGAAAATTCATGGGTTTGGGTATCGTGAAGCAGGTGTAAACATACAGAGCAAGCCTCTCCTTACCAGGCTCTGCTCAAAGCAGTGTAGTGTGGTGACACAGCAAACACACCTGCAAGCAATCACTTGGCAAGCATCCACCTCAACCAGGCCAGAACTCCAGTTTGGGTCTTCAGGATCTTAGTTTCTGCCATTGCGATGATTGTGAGGCAAAAATTAGGGGAAATTTGGACTGTCTCTTACAATGAGGAAAAGGCAAAGGTACTTAGCGCCATCTTTGCCTCTGTCTTTAATAGCAAGACAGGTTGTTCTTTGTGTCCCCAGCCTCATGAACTGGAAGACAGGGATGGGGATCACAATGAAGCCATGACCATTGACCTGATACACCGCTTAGACACACCCAAGTCCATGGGACTGGATGGGATCCACTGAAGGTACTGAGGGAGCTGTCAGCAAAGCTCACCAAGCCACTTTCCATCATATACCAGCAGTCCAGGATAATGAGGTTCCAGATGACAGAAGGTTGGCAGATATTATGCCAATCTACAGGAACGGTTGGAAGGAAGATTCAGGGAACTATAGACCTGTCAGTCTGGACTCGGTGCTAGAAAAGGTCATGAAGCACATGCCTTCACTTGGCGTGTATGGAGCAACCAGGGGATCAGGCACAGTAAGTCTGGGTTTAGGAAAGGCAGGTCCTGCTTGACTTACTTAAGGATCTTCTTTGTGACAGGACGACCCTGCCTAATGGAGGAGGAAAAGACTGTGGATGTCTACCTAGACTTCGGTAAAGCCTTTGATACTATTCCCCAC